CGGGCAGACCACGCCCCTTGGCCGCCGCGCGCGCTGCGGGGTGGCCGCGCGGGTCCTCGCTCACGTGACCCCTGGACCCCGGCGGGGACAGGCTGTGACCCCCGAAGTGGGGCCGGGAGACCCCGCGGGGGCCGGGGCTCCTCCTGTGGGGGCTCCCCTTTCTCACTGARGGCCTGGGCACTATCGCCGCCGCTGATTGCCCGTGTCCTGGTGAACCCCCCCGCGCCGGACACCCCGSGGAAGCCCCCCGTCCCTCGGGGGATCCCGGGTGGGTCTGTCTGTCCCCCTGAATGAGATGAGATGCGGGCACTCGCCGGAGTCCCACGCCTAGAGCCCGGTGGGCGCATGGCCCCTATGCCGGTGTCTCCCAGGGTGTGTCCTGGTGCATCYCAGCAATGGGTTACCGAACCATCCCTCACCTGCCAGGAGATCCCGACGTGAAATCTCTGAGATTTTGGTGGGATATTGAGAAGAAATTCTTCCTTGTAAGGGTGGTGAGGCCCTGGCACAGGTTGCCCAGAGAAGCTGTGGCTGCTCCTGGATTCCTGGAAGTGTCTGGGGCCAGGTTGGACTGAGCTTGGAGCAACCTGGTSTAGTGGAAGGTGTCYCTGCCCATGGCAAGGAGTGGGACAAGATGAGTTCTCAGGTCCTCTCTCACCCAAACCATTCCACAATTCTGACACTGGCTTTCCCAGCAGCTTGTAGACCCCAAGCATGAAGAGATGAACCCCAGACCCACAGCAGTAACAAAACCACATCTGTGTTTTCTGCACAGCCATAGGAMGATCCCTGGGAGTGCAGCTGCTCTGGGACTCCCTGTTAGGTCCTCCTGCAGCATCACCATACGTTGACACCCACTTATGCTGGGAAGGATCATCCACAAACACGTTCCTGGTAGTGAGGGATCAGAGAATCCCAGGATTGGATCAGAGCAGCCCAGGGGTGGCTGGAAGCACTGCTAGCAAACAGGAGAAGCTCTGTGTTGGAAGTGCACCCTTGCCCAAACCCACCATGTGCGTTTGTTCCCTCGTAACTGGTTAGGGGGTTCAGAGCTGGAGAGAGCTGCTGGCTCGGGAAATTATGAGTGGGATGGCACTGGGGGGATCTGCCTCTGGGATCTGTTCCCAGTTCTCATGATCCACAGGGAGGAGAAAACCTCGCCGGGTTCATGTGAGAGATGGCGAATGCCGCGGTGAGCGTTCCTGTGGGTGATGTGGTGGTTGTACCAAGTGAAGGGAATGAAGGGGAGAACCCGGAGGATACCAAAACCCAAGTGATCTTGCAGCTCCAGCCGGTACAGCAAGGGTGAGTTGGATGGTACTGGTGTGACTGGGAGGTGCAGGGTGGCATGGGAGGGAGCTCTGTGGGTTTTCATGGTGCGGGGGCAGAGCATCGCTGTGTTTTCCAGGTCTGCGTTGGTTTCGTGCCACGCAGGGGAGAGAGGAAGTACAACAGAAAAAAGCTTTTGTGTGTGTGTGGCTGTCACAGTGCCTCRGAGGTCTGAAATTGTCCTGCGAGGCTGTGCTAGTGCAGTGCTCCTGGATCATGGAAGCAATGCTGTACCAGTCTCCCTCTTCCTTCTCCAGTCCCAGGTTGCAGCTGCTGGATACGGTGGTCTGTGTGTTCATACCTGCATGTGCCTCTGTGCCAGCTTTCCCCTGAAATAATCCTCTTCTAAAATACAGTGAGGCTGAGATGCGAAGGGAATTTTGTAGCTCCCTGGCAGCTGCTGCCTCATCTTCACTCTGGATCAATCAGGATGTAAAAAAAACCTGGCTCCAGTTTGATAGGATTTGCAGGGCAGGGTGGCTGTGGGCCTTACAGTGACTTCCCTTTGTGGTCATCTGTGCTGCAGTGTCACATAGGGCTGCAAGGGAAATCCTGGGACATTGGGCTCTGCTTCTTGCTTTCAAGGATGACAGAAGTAGAGGAGAAGGCACAGGGAAGCCTGCAGAGCTGCCTCGGTGGTGCTGGCAGTGTGGAGGGCGGGATGACAGCACTCGAGGTGCCTCTGCATGTGTCAGACCTTGGGATTATTAGTGTTTTGTGCGAGCAAAAAAAAWTCCTCATGATTGAAACAGTATCAGACAAAATTCATGTCCATTGAGGACAAGCAAAAATTAATTGAAATGTTTAACCCTGTGCTGTGAGTCCTAATTTCCCATGATTTATATAATTTGTTTATGGATGGCCACTTTCACCACAGGATTTACCAAGAGGGCTCTGAGGCCAGTGCYGCTGTGGTGGCCGTGGAAACCCACACCATTCACAAGCTGGAAGAAGGGATTGGTGAGTTCCTGCTTGGCGTGGATGAATCTCCTCTTGTTCAGGGCTTGGTGTTTCCAGTTTGCTGGGCTTCCTTCTGGCTCTGCCCCTGCAGATGCTGATTCCTAGGCATGGATGTGCGTGCAGGGGCTGGGCATACTGTGGAATAAGAGTTTGCTGTTACTTCTTGGTCCCAAAGTCCTGGAAGTGAGATCCTGGCTCTGCTGCAATGAATGGTAAGGGCTCCCATGGAGTCCAGGGAAGCCAGGATGTCACCCTAGCGCTGGTGCAGGCACTGGCAGCAGGAATGATAGTGATGAAGACGTGGTGGCTGAAGCATCAAGCTCTGCTTGCAGGGTCTTTGCTGAACCAAYAGTTTTGATGATTTGAATTGGATGTTCAGAAGAACCAAGCAGGTTGGCTCCAAGTGCTTTCTGCCATGCTGAGCAGAGCGTGGAAAAAGGCTCCTATCACTAGACTATGACTAGATCTTGACTARAATTCTGCTTTCTGTGTGGGTATGGGTCTTTTGGCAAGACTAGCAGAAATTCTGCAAAAAGAATATATTATCAGTGAATATCTGATATCAGATCTGATATCTCTGCTAAAGAGATACCAGAGCTCCAGGAATCCAAGAGATATCTGTGCTTCAAATTTTAAACCATTTTGTTGCCACTAAGATTGTTCTCATTGGCAACCCCCCTCGAGGCTTTGGACTTCTGATTTCACATTTCCTGATAGATGAGCTTCATTTGGAGCATTGTTATACCAAAATGCAGAAGCCAGTTGCTGTTRGAGTTAGTCTGAACTAACTCAGAGAAGACCAAGAGAGGACTAATCCTGAACTGGGATCTGCCCTTTCCCACAACCTTGTGGGATTGGAACCTCTTGGGTGGAAAAYTTTCATTTTGAACTGTTCCTCCCTCAGACCCCAGCACCCTTGAAACGAGTGAGGAAATCGAGATCGCCTATCCCATCACCTGTGGGGAGAGCAAAGCCATCCTTCTCTGGAAGAAGTTTGTCTGTCCAGGAATTAATGTCAAGTGTGTGAAGGTAAGGGAGAAACTTCCAGTGCATTGATTCCTTCTCTGCTCTCCAGGTGGTCTCCACAGGACATCCTTACTTTTTGCATCTCATTCTAACTGAATCCTTGGGTTGCTGATGCTAAAGTTGTTTTTTTCATGGGGAGAAGCAGGGGAAGAGTGAATTAAAGAGGAAAGGATATCTCATGCTTCATATTTCAGTTGTATTGACCCTTGAGGAGGGACTGAAGGCAGGCAGGAGATATGTGTTGATATTTGGCAGAGCTTTGCCTCCTCCCTTTCCCTTGATGTCCTCTTAACTCCACCCTTGCACTTCCTTGGCTAGCAGGTTGCATTGAGAAGGGAAATCTTGGTGTTATCTTTTCACACTCAAGAGCATGCCAATGTGACAGCCAAGCTCCTTGTGCCCCCCTCAGCAGGAATTACTCGAGTCACCAGAGCAGGGCAGAAAGGCTGCCCTGAGAGAATACCTATGTCAGCTTGATGCTGCTGGGCCATTGGTGTAACAGAAACCTCCTGTAATGATTTCCAAGATGACTGTACAAGTTCACAGAAGATGATTTGGTTCATATAAACCCTTCAGGGCTGTTCTTGGTCAGGGCTGTTCTTGATTAGGGCTGTTCTTGGTCAGGGTTGTGAATGCCTGTGGCTGGCAGGTCATCCCTACAAGCATCCTTCCTGGAGCTGTGAGCATTGCTGTACCCAGGGGATCAAAGCTGGGAGGGATCTGAGAAATAGCTCCTCTCTCTGGGTGGAAGTGGGGGCTCATGTRAGCTGTGTTGGATGTTCCAATCCTCCCAAGTGTTGTTACCCTGTTTGCTGAGCCTTTGCTTGTCTCATTGTCAGTTCAATGACCAGCTGATTAGCCCAAAGCATTTTGTTCACCTGGCTGGGAAGTCTACCCTGAAGGATTGGAAGAGAGCCATTCGCCTTGGAGGAATCATGCTAAGGTATTTGACCCTGTCCAGCTTCAGGACTCCACCTGTGCAGCTGCAGGATCCCCAGCAGGCATTTTGTCTGCTTTGCAGTCCCTGGGTCTCTTGGAGGCCCACATTACCTGGCTAGCAGCCTGCAGAGATCCCAGCCCCATGGTGTGAGGGTCAGGATCCCTCATCCTGGACAGAAGTGGCCTTGCCTGGGGAACCTGAAGTGGAACAGGATTGGAGTCCTGTATGTGAAGCTGGGGGTGGTTTGTGTTTGCCATTTGAAAACCTTGCAGGAGATTTGTTGCATGCAGAGTGGCCCTGGGATCTCCCTTTCTCTTTCCTTCTCATGGCTATAGCATTCTCAATAGAATATTCCCTTTTGTCTCCATGCTGAGATTTGAGCTGAGCCTGATTCTCTCTCTACTCCCTGCACAGGAAGATGATGGATTCGGGGCAGATTGACTTCTACCAACATGACAAAGTTTGCACCAACACCTGTCGAAGCACCAAGTTTGATCTCCTGATCAGCAGTGCCAGAGCACCAGTGCCAGGGCAGCAGAGCATGGTACAGACTCCAACCTCAGCTGATGGTAGGAAACCAGTTACCAATGCATAGGAGTTTCCCTCTGATGCTCCTCTCTCTCCCACACACACTTTACACCTTCTCCGTGGGCACAKCAGGGCAGTCCCAACATTTTGCAGGAGACTGCTCTGGTTTCTGGGAAGAAAAATGCTTCCCATGTCTGTTYGGCGAGATCTCGGCAGCATCTGTCAGGGAACTCTGCTCTGCAGGACTGGGAAGGCTGGAAAACAACTGGCATCAAGCAGCTGCTTTCCAGAGGGACAGCCTTGGTAGTCAGGATAGAGATTGAGAGCCTTGCAAGGACCCTTGTTTCTGGGGTCAGTACATGAGCAAACACCTGTGTGCACTCGCACAGCATTTTCTAACGTATTTTTATTTTGGGAGTCTGTTACAAAGGCATGAATTGGACTAATACTTAGGAGTTAACTTAGAGTTGTTGACCTTCAGAACATCCATGAATGGGATGTGGTGGATGGACATGATTTGATTGTCATTGCAATTGCAAGTTCTCCTGTGCTCGAGAGCAGAAATTGATCTCTTTGCTGAGGTTAAGGGAAAAGACTGTTTTCAACTGTGCCACATYGTTCAGCTGGGTGGGTTACATTCTCTGAGCCCCTGGGTGGGTGACATGGCTAAGTTGTCCACAGGCTAAGGAGAGTCTCTTGGAAAGCATCATAGCAAACTKACAGTGGCTGCACACTGGTTTAGTCCCAAATTTGATCCAGAAACTTGGAATTGAGTCAGATCCATTTCCCTTCTATAAACCAGCTTGGACCTCGGTTCCATTTACTGAGGGATTAGGGGTGCAGAGCTCCCTGTGGATGATGCAAGGGGAGAAGGCTGACTGGACTAAGCCTTATCCATTCCCTTTTTTTATTCTGATCCCTTTCTGCTCCCTGGAACTGGGACTCCACTGTGGAAGGCACATGGTTTGCCCTCCAGAAGACCYTGAGCTTTTCATAGTCACAGTTCCAATGAGACGCAGCAATATTTGCTTTTAGCTGGTTTGGCTGAAAGAAGCCAAGCACAAACCTGACCCAAAGCGTGAAAGAAAGCCTGGGGAGGGCTGAAGGGTTGGGAAGCAAAGCAGGGWTTCAGGGCTGGCAGAGGGAGCTGATGGGTACTCTGTGCCAGGGAGCATCACCCAGATTGCGCTGTCGGAGGAGAGTATGGAGGAGGGGATCGAGTGGAACTCGGCTCTGACAGCTGCTGTCACCATGGCCACTGAGGAAGGCATGAAAAAGGACATGGATGAGATCTCAGGTAAGCTCAGGCTGCTTGTTGTGYCTTTTCTTTCCCTCTCCTCCCCTGTTACATTTTGGAAACCTAAATCTTGAAAATAAGTAAAGTTTGGGCAATGACAGCACAGTCTCCCAGCCCCTTGGCTACCCCAGCATTTCCCAGGCATCCAGGCTTTCTGGCAGTGAAGCTCCTCAACACTGCAGGACTTTGGTCCTGGCCTGGCCGATGTATGATCCCCCAGATCAGATGTTACTAGTTACAATGAGGGGCTTTTCTATTTTATTTCAAAGATGTAAAACACATCTGCCAGCCTGAAGCCAGCCTGGAATCAACAAGAAGCAATCATGTTTGTTCCCTGTCGATTCTCTGTTCTGTGTCTCTCTGGCCTTACATTCCCTTGTAGTATCAGTATGGAAGCTTAGCTAGAATTTCATTCAATAATTATTTTAAGCTCTGCATCTTGCAAAAAGGTGAAGTGTTGTCTTGTAAGTCATGGACTTGCTTGGAAACCTGTTCCTGATTTGCTACCTGAGTCCATTTTGCTTGGTTTGGGGTTGATTATTTTTTTCACGTGTCCTGTCCAYCCCAATGGCCAAACTGCAAGTCACCTTGCAAATATACACTTGCCTGAGAGGTTTAAGGTGGCCCTATGGGAAAAATGCCAAATGCTTGTGTGTGCTGACTTATTTTCCTCTTCTTTTGTGCCAGAGGACACGCTGATGTTCTGGAAAGGAATAGCAGATGTGGGGCTGATGGAAGAGGTGGTGTGCAACATCCAGAAGGAGATAGAAGAAGTCCTAAGAGGTGTGCAGCAGCGACTGGGTCAGTCTCCCTTCCAGATGACAGGTAGGTTGTGAGGAAGGAGCCACAAAAGGGCAGCTGCAGGTGCAAAAAAGTGCCAACAATCCATCCCACCGTGTAGGGCAGGTGAGTCACAGTGGGGAGCGAGTTCCCACTCATTAGCTGAGTTGTGGGAGCACAGTCTGTGTGTGTTCTCAGCCTGCCCAGCTGTTAAGTGCCTTTGCTTCAAAGCACAAGGACACACCATTCCACCCTGTTCCCTGAGCTAAGTGTCCCTAGCACTTTGCTGGGACCATCAGATGACTGTCCACAGCTTCCAGACCCCATGGAAGCTCTCCCAGAGTCATTGGACCAGAGTTATTCAAACATTTCTCAGTGATACTGCAGGCTTAAAAAGGTCCCGCCCCCTCACTTCTCATTCTGCCTTCACTGGTGCCAGAAAACCTGTTCTGGGGGCTGAACCAGATGAGGGAAATGATCCGGGTTAAAAATAATTCCCCTCCCCTTTTTAGGTTTTTTTTTTAACTTGGATCAGCTCCCTAATCTGGTTTGGCACATGCCTGTGTGAACACCTCTTTTGTCGATGCTCTTCCTGAGAGAACATCCATGTAGCCACAAACTTCATTTTACCCAGGATATTTTTTTTTAAGTTTTCTCATTTTCCTTTGGGCTGGTGGGTCTTTGTGTCTGGTAGGTATCAGCTTTTTGGAGCTGTGAGTGATTGAAGTCAGTGSATTGTAATAGACATTTTGCACAGCTTTCAGTGGAGCTTGGCATGTTAATGACACTGTCAGCAGCATGGGGTGATGATTTGTAGGTGGAAAGCTCATTTGTATCTCTGTGATTGCAAATTACACTTTGATTTGCAGCAATTTGGAGCTATTTGATTGACACAGCTCTGTTCAATTTGCTTTATCATGTGAATGGGATTATTTAATCCTGTCCTGTCAGAAGGATGAGGGAGCTGAGCCTGCCCATGTCAGCTACCCCTTTTGAAAGAACAGAGAGAGTTTTAAAAAGCAGTAGAAAATTTTTGGAGTAACAGGGGCATCTTTTGAGTGCCCAAGTAACATCGGACTTAATGTCCCCGTGCTCTTTCCATGCAGATGCTGCAGTCCTGAACAATGTTGCACACACATTTGGCTTAATGGACACAGTCAAGAAGGTTCTGGACAACAGGAAAAACCAGACAGAGCAAGGAGAGGAGCAGTTTCTTTACACACTGGCAGGTAAAGTGGCTAATAAGGGTTCCAATCTTGCTGCTGCTTTTGGAAATGGATGTGACTTTCCTTCCACACACCCCCAATCAATTAGGGTTATTGTTCAGTACAGTTGTCCCAAAACAAGTGCATCCCAATCTCTTCCTGTCCTAGGTTTGAGTGGAATTTCTTCTCTCCCCTGCCTCACAGAGGGCAATTGCTTGGGGCATTGGACAGCCCAAAGTTTGTGCCCTTTGCTGCAGTTGGAGTGCTGCAGGCACGAGTCCAGTCCCCTGAGGATTAGGGATAGGACATGCTCGCTCAGTGCTGTGCCATTGTTACCTGAACTGTGGACATGCTGTACACGAGCTAATAAGCCTCTCTATGGGGTGCTAAGCTTCTGCTTGTTTTGGCTGTTGGGGCTATCTGCTTGTCTTGTAGAGCTATTGGGTGACCTGCTCAGCTTTCCCTGAGCTGAAGCCACAGATGTACCTGGGATCCCCAGAGCTGCTCACTGGATGCGTCTCCCTCCTCACCACATCCTGTAGGATCTGTTGTTATCTGAGATGTSCTAGTCCGCTACTGCCCTGGATAAATGATGTCACGTGCTACTTCTGGTTCCCAGTGTTCCCACTGACAAGGGTTGAGGGGGGTGTTTCACTGACCCTGSCATCCTGCTGCTGTCCCCAGTGCAAGTGCTTGGCTCCTGGGGAGGTGACCCAGTCAAGCTCAGGAAGCAAGTGTCTGACTGCTTGGGGGGGGGTGGTGATGGTGAGGCAGTTCACACTTCCAAGTGGATTTAACTTGGGAACAGAAATGCCCATCTTCTCATCAGTAGGAGGAGCCAACAGGTATAGAATGTTACCTTCATCTTATCCAGGTGCTGGCAGCTGGAACATTGACCAGGTCTGTGTGAGTGGCAGGAGTGTGTGAGTGGCAGTCTGTGTGAGTGGCACCTTTTCCTTCAGTGCCATTTGGTCTCGAGGGAAAAGCCAAGAGCAGGCTTGCTGGGTGGTTGGATGACCCGCTGTCACAAACCTGAGAGTAATGGTTGGCTCTGGAGCCCCAGGAGCTCCTATTTACCCTGGTGTGAAGTGTTACTTAACCACTCCCTTTACAGACCTGGAGCGGCAGCTGGAAGAGCAGAAGAAACTTGCCAAGGACCAGAAGGCCAAGTCCCAGACCATCCAGAATGTGGTACTGATGCCAGTGAGCGCACCCAAGCCCCCCAAGAGACCCCGTCTGCAGCGCCCAGCCTCCGCCACCATCCTCAGCCCCTCCACCCCCATCCAGCAGCCTCAGTTCACYGTCATCTCCCCCATTGCCATTGCGCCTGTTGGACAGCAGTTCTCAGTGGGCAATATCCCAGTAGCAACCCTCAGCCAAGGCTCCAGCCCAGTGACTGTTCATACTTTGCCCTCTGGCTCCCAGCTCTTCAGATACGCCACTGTGGTTTCATCCTCCAAGACCAACTCGTCGGACACAGTCACACTGCATCCGTCCTCCAGCCTGGCACTGCTGAGTTCAGCAGCCATGCAGGACAGTGGGGCCCTGGCCAATGTGGCGGCCATGGTCAACCCTGTGGAACTGGTGGCCATGGAGTCTGGCATCACTTCCACCATCCAAGCTGTGGAAGGCACCTCGGATGATGGGCAGACCATCATAGAGATTGACCCTGCGCCGGATCCTGAGGCAGACACAGACGAATCGGAAGGCAAAGCTGTGATCCTGGAGACAGAGCTGAGGACTGAGGAGAAAGTGGTGGGAGATGTGGAAGACCATCAGCACCAGGTCCATAACGTGGAGATTGTGGTCTTGGAAGACTAGTGGGGAAGGCTGACATGAGTTTGGGGAAGAGTTGGGAATTTGTTTTATTTCAGGCTCTTTTGTTAAGCATCCAGCCACCCCATTTGTTACCATGGACATTTTCATTGTACTGTACATTTTATATATATATATATACACACACACATACACACACAGATATATATATATATAATTTTGTCTTTTAAAACAAAGCTGGAGAAACACGTGAGACATGGAAAAGGCTCAGTCTCCGTGGAGCACTGAACAATACCAGCTGTGGCATGGTCATGGAGAGACTGGATCTCTGCTGAACAGCCCAACTGGGAGGAACTGGCCACCCCTTGGTGCTTCTCCTTTGGGCCTGCCCTGGTGCTGGAGACTTTATTTGAAAGACAATAACCAGTGGCTTGGGTATGGATATGGCTGTGGGAAGAGGTGACAGATTTGGGGTGGAACAGGTACCTCGTTTGTATTTTTATTTTCCCCAGGGAAGGGAATTCTGTCACACCCTTCACTGTCACCTCAAATGGATTTTTTTTATTATTATTCTTGCTTTGGGGAGGCTGACAGTACTTTGAATTTACTGCCCATGTTCTCTTCCTCCACACAAATTGCTTTTATATCTCTATTTTTTTGTATTTGGTTGCTCTCTCCCTTCCCTTGTCCAGATTACCCAGCTGCAAAGCCCTGGGACCWTCTCTCAGGGTGCCCATATCCCAATCCCACCTTTTTCCATGTCACTTTTCCCCCCATCCCTTTCCCTGCCTGCCCAGGCTCGGTGCTGCAAACACCACTTGAAGACTCAGATCACTTCAGCCTTTTGCATAAAGGCAAAAAATATAAACTCAAGCTCAAACCCAGACCCTCCCCCTTGGCTGCTCAGCGCCACAGGGACCTTTTGGGGTGTACAAAGCATGTTGTGCTGTTGCTTTCCRGGAGAGCCGGATTTTGGTTTGGGACAGCTTCTGTTTACACTGTGTGCTGAGGCTGCTCCGTGCTTGTCGCTACTTGTTTGGTGGTTTTATTTTTGTATTATTTTTTTCTTCTTTCTTCCTATAATCTCTTGGCAGGATTAGAACTGGCACGTTGCTGAAATACTGTGCACCCTGCTGTTTTCCCCCTTTTCCTCTTTTTTTTTCAGTGGTTGATGATCCATCTGGGCTTTGCCACAGTGGGAAAATGAAAGGGGTGAAGCTCTGGGTGCCTTTAGAGCTGCAGAGGTTTGGGAGGGCTGAKAGGGTGGGAGCTGCTTGGCTGGAAATATTAAGCAAAACAACAGCAAAGAAAACACACCTGGGGAGGGTGGGGGAGGGCAGGAAGATGTGTTTGGCTATTTTTTTGCATTAAAAGAAAAAATGGAATTAAGCTCCAATGGATTTTTCACGGAGAGGTGAAAGGCTGTGCTTCCACCACTTTGGGGACATCATGGGATGAGCAAACAACTGAGGCTGCTGAATGGGAGGGAGGGGCTGAGGATGGTGGCAGAGGCTGGGTGCTGCAGACAAGGTCTGAACCCCAATTTGTGAGGGGTGGTTGCTGCTGCTCCAACCCTGGTCTCAGAAGTGTTTCCTGACTTGGAGAGGAGGTGGAAACAGCTGTCAGAGCCAGATCCYATGCTCAGCCTGGAAAAGGCTCCAGGGAGACCTCAGAGGCCTTTCCAATGCCTTAAGGGTCTCTGAGAGCTGGAGGATGACTTCGGACAAGGGCTTGGAGGGACAGGACAAGCAGGAGTGGCTTTCCACTGTCAGAGGGAAGGCTTAGATGGAATATTGGGAAAGAAATGGGGGCTCAGGGTGGTCAGGCCCTGGCACTGGCTGCCCAGAGAAGCTGTGGCTGCCCTTGGATCCCTGGAAATGTCCAAGGTCAGGTTGGACAGGGCTTGGAAGAATCTCGTCTAGTGGAAGGTGCGCCTGCCCATGGTGGGGGGTGGAAGAAAATGAGCTTTCAGGTCCCTTTCTACCCAAACTGGTCTGGGATTCTTTGGTTTTGGATCAGGGATCCATCTCCTTCCATATGCAGCCACCTTTCCTCCATTCCCCTTGGGCTTGCATTCTTGACTGAAGGGGAATGGGGACCTTTTGGGGACTCCCTTCCCCAATCCAGGCTTACAGCAGATCCTATCAGGTCGCTGCTGAAGCTGGTCCTGTTGGTTGGCCGGGAAGGGGGCGGGGAGTGTGTGAATCTATGCTTCTCACTCGCTGTACACCCACTCAACACCCAGGTAGCCCCCTTGACCTGGGTGGGGGTCCCAGAGGCCTGCGATGTCCCCTGGGTCCTTCACACCCTGGAGTGCTGGGCTGGGGACGGGGGGAGCTAAAATGTGTGGCGACAAATGAGTTTGGGCTGAACCCGCAGGCGGGCCCCAAATTTACCATTTTTTGCCTTCAAACCGCAGCGGGGACCCCTGGCCCTTTAAGAAGTCTCTCCCTTCCAGCCGAGCAGGGGCGCTGCTCCCCTCCACGTTCCGGTCGTCCGCCGTCCCGGCATGCACTGCGCCCCGCCCCCCCTCATTTCCCGCCATTGTGCCTGGGCGCGCGCGGTGCCGCGTGATCGGGCGGGGGGAGCGCGAAGCGGCGGGCCCGGGCCATAGAGACGCGCGAGGGGGGGGTGGGGGGTGGGATAGAGCGTCCCCCCGCCCCGCTCCGCCGGTGGCCGCTCCGAGTCCGCCAGGGTCGCCCCGAGCCCGCCGGGCCCGGACAAAGCGCTGCCACCTCCCGCCCCGCCCCGCCCCGCCTGCAGCCCCGCCGCGGAGCCATGTCGGCCAGCAGCCTCTTGGAGCAGGTAGGAGTTCCTCTGCCGATGCTGGGACGGGCCCGTCGCGCGAGGCCGCGGCTCTGCGCCTAACGGGGGCTGTGTCCCGGGCCGGGCCGGGCGGCGGCTGCGGCCTCACTCCTCTCTCGTCGCAGGGCCGCGCTCCATTGTGATGCGGCCGGGCCAGGCCTGTCCCCACAGGGCTCGACCCCGCCGGGACGGCTCTGCCCCCTCGCCGGGTCGGGTCTGCGCCCTCCCCGGCACGGGTCTGTCTTTGCTGGGCCTTGGCTTCCCCSGCGGGCCGGGTCKGTCTCCCCTCACCGGGCCGGGTCTGTCTCCCCTCACCGGGCCRGGTCTTTCCCCACCCGRGCTGGGTCTGTCCCCCTGACTCACTACTCTCCCTCTTTCTTTCCCTACGTTGCCGCCGTCGCGTCAGAGACCCAAGGGCCAAGGCAACAAAGGTGAGATCCTGGAGGGCCGGGCGCACCCGGCTGGGAGTGGGAGGATCCCGCCGCCGGGAGAGGGAGGGGCTCCCCAAAACCTGCCGGGAAGGAAATAAGCCCCGTGGCCAGGCCTGGCTGCTGGGCTGGGGAGAGTTTTCAGGTGATGTCTGTATGGTGGTGAAGTGTCTTTGTGCCAGGGGCTCAGGCTGATGTGTTAGAATTAGCAAAAGTTGGTTATATTACAGGGTTTGGCTTTAAATACTTTARGCTGATAATTATGGGAGTTCATTGCATAGATTTTTCTAACGTTGCATATCTTTTCTCAGTACAAAATGGCTCTGTGCACCAGAAGGATGGGTTAAATGATGATGACTTTGAGCCCTACCTGAGTCCACAGGCCCGCCCGGTGAGTACCTGCTGCAGGCAGGAGCACCAAGAATCTCGTGGTTTTCTGTTGCTCCAAGAGAAGGGAATTTGGCCTCCTTGTGTGTTCCCCATATCCACTGATTGCACTGTGATGTTTGCCAGTTGCCTCATTTYATGTCCTATCCTACACCTGCATTTCTGCACACAGAATGTGGTGACTGTGTTTAGATTGTGGTGGATGAGGTGGGAAGATTTTTAGCGACTTTTTGAGGCTGTGAGAACTTCCTAGAGGTGGTATCTGGCTCTTTTTTTTTTCAACATGACTGTCTTTAAGTCACCATTTCTGTCTTTCAGTTTCACTGTTGTGCCTGTGTTGTTTCTGGTTCTTTACACCACAGAGATGGACTGAGTTGGGTTGTGAAGTTGCTTCACGTGAGGCYGTTGCGCTTTTGGAAGATCAGTTCAGCATTCTTATCTCTGCACCAAGTCAGCTGATGGTGCTTGTCAGGGGGATTTCTCTGTTTTCCACCAAAAAAGCTCCAGAGCCCACATGTGGTACAAGTGTTGTGACTTTCTGAGAACTTTAATTACAAGTTAAGCCAGAGAGTTTTGTGATCAGATCCTGGAAGTCAAGCTTGCAGCTACTTTTCCTCTTCACCTTCTCCTAGATTAACTCCACTGTACTGGTGTTTGTTTGTTTTCCTTAATGAGCTGCAGGGGAGTGACACAGAACAGATGGAGTTCAGCTGATTAGATGTACAAGTGAGTACCATAGGTAAACATCTGTAGTAGCACTGGARCAGTCAGTTTGTTCTCTTGGCTTCCCTTTCTAGTTGCGCTTAGTAAAAATAAGCTGTTCTGGTTCCCCCTTTCTGTATTTTTGCTTATTTTTACTAGTCAGTGTGTTCATTTGCTCGTGTAAATGTGATGCATATTTTATTGGAACACAGGAACAGGTTTCTGTCTCAGTTAAATTTTCAGCTAGTGTTTTCCTAGTTTGTACTACGGGTCTGAGGATAAGTATTTTTGTCATATCAGCTGTTCATAATCTTCAGAATTCAGCCTGTCTGTCAAGACACCTTGCTGCATTCAGTCCCCTAAAAAGTTACAAGCCTAAATTCATCCTTCATAGGTGAGAGAATGATATTACTTTTTAAAATCATGAATAAAATCAGCTACTTTCCTTGGAGCTGTCATGTAATGCTGGTTTTTTCTGTCCCAGTTACCAACATCCCCAATTTCCAGCTTCCTTCTAAATATGGATGTATTTCCTACAAGCTGCAGTTTAAGTTTTCTAAAGGCAAAGAGGGTTACTATAATTTTGAAGCAGCACAGTAKTTTATGCTATTTTGCATGTTTGATGAAGTATTTCTGTATCTTTTGTTTCATTTGGTGTGTCTCAGGCTGGTAAAAGTACATTTTAAAATAAGTGATTGGATRTGTCCCGGGAGGCAGAAACTGAGCAGGAGTGAGGTGAAACCACCAAATTAACTTGGTGTGGAACCTTTGAGTGACTATCTCAGTTCCTCACTGTGCTGTGTTGCTGGTCTGTACTCTGTGAAATAGAATCCAAAACCTTCAGAGCTGGGTCTGGAGGGAGGCAAAAATACATGGGTATCCAAGGCTGCACCTCTTTACTGGAGATGGGAAACAGAGATCTAAAAACTGCTCTGAATAATTGAATTAAATGAATTCTGGAGTTGCTTTCGAGCTCTCCACACACCCATGAGGGATAACCATATTGTAAAGTTTCACTGCTCCTTATTGCCCACCTGCTCTTTCAGGTGMCTGTTACTTTTCAGTCCCCACAAGGTTACTGTATGTTTTAAATCTCAGATACATAGTGAATTGTTTTTAACCCTTTAAAACCCAAATGCTTAACAGTAACACTAAGTCAGGTTCTCTCAGAACCCYGGTTCTGGTCTGAGGTGGAGGTGAAGAGGAACAGTGCATTTGAGGAAATAACTGTGTGAGGAGTCTTAGTCAAGGAGAGAATGAGAGGCTGGTGGAGTTTTATTTGCACATTAATCAGCATGTGTGTTGGTTGTACGAGGGCAGGGGAGCAGAGTGAGGTGCTGTGTTTGATAACAGCCATATTGAAGACRTTCAGGTGGAGAACAGGAGCATATCCCAGATGTGCTCTGAGCTGCCTGTGCTCAACTCTTGAACTGCTCTGTTCCCTCTTTACTACCTATGTGTAGGTGCTGACTACTCCACAGGTCATACCTTAATACACATTGTGTTCTCGGAAATTGAACATAATGACATGTGGGAAAATATTTTGAGGTGACAGGAGGAAAGATTTTAATCTGATAGTGATGTGCTTCAGGTGCTCCTGGGGAGAGGAAATGGCTCTGCCTYGGGTTTAGCATGTTCCTGTTCCTTTAAAGATGAGTTTGGGAGAGAAATGTTACGCTTACCATTGAGGGGATAARCATGTGAAGAGACTTTGCTGGTTCAGAATAGTAATAGGAGGTTTTAAGTTCTTCTATTTGTCTTACAAATTAGTGTCAGTGTTGGTGCTTTTTGACAGATTGAGCCCTTGGTTTGGCAGGAMTGAGTTCCTCAATTAGTAAAACCCTGGATGAGAGTGAATTTCATTACTAATTTGTTTTTGGGAGCCCTTTGTGAAAATAAAGGTTGGAGAGCCCCAGACCTCTGAGTTTTTGGGAAGTACCACAGAAATCTTGTCTCTGAACACATGATGTTAAATAATTCCTATTAATTTCTATTAAGTTGTGGCTTGGTTAGCCTCAAACCTGTTGCTCTCCTGTAAGTCAGTAGAAGATGGAGTAGCAAACCAGCTATTTCTGGAGGGTGCCAGGGCCATCTTGAGAGACTTCCTGGATTTTGGTGTGGCACAAAGTCCTCCAGAAGTTGCACTTGGCAGGTGAATACCATGATTCAATGAAAAATGGAGCAGAGCTTGTAGCAAGCCAGGCATTTAAGTGGGAACTGAACCTGCCTTTGATCTCATCTGCRCTGGGCTGGTGTGTCATTGGCTGTGCAGCACAAGGCTGCTGCTCACAGGTTCAAATTACTGAGGGTAATGTCCATTAGCAGGGCTGGAACYGCTTCTTGGAGGGAACCTGGGTTTGAATGGGAAATGACAGATGTTTTTGATGTAAGCAAATSTTGGGGATGTCTGGGCGTTTCTTAATTGTTAAATTAGGCATTTGTTTTTGTATCCTAAAGGCTAATTGGGTGTCAAAAGGGAGACCAGGGCATGGAGCTGGGTTTTTTTCCTCTCTGAATTTGAAACCTGTTTGCACTGTCACTGTGCTGTAAAAGGCTTCTATTGATTACTTCGCATTTTCAGGTAATTTTTAGTATGTGCCCACAGCACTGGAGCAGTTTGTGTTTTGAGGAATAGGCTTTAAATCCCTGTTTGTTTGCAATCTTGGAATACTGTAAAGTGTGGAACTTTAAATCGCAGGAGTAAAGCTGTTTTCATGGCTTGTAAGTTTAAGGAAGGCATTCAGGAACACTCGTGTTTTTCCCACTGTGCTTTTACTGCATCCTTTCCCTTCTTATTCCCCTTCTCACTTCATCCTTTTCCCAAATCCTCCCTGGAACACTATAATAAGGGTTAAGTAYCTTACAAAGGCAGGAAAAGCCCTTKTTGGGAGTAGCTACARCCAGAAGATGGTATTTGGATGCAAGGTAAGAKATACTGGTTTTTAAAACCTGAGCAGGAGCTCTGGGGCTTCCTGGTGTCCAGTCCCACACCGTGCTTTGGGAACACCATACACTCCTGTCTTGGCATGGGAAGCTTTGTCTTTAACCTTTCTGAGCCTTTGTCTTTAACCTTTCTGGCAATGGAACATATTTGAGAGCCCTTGTAACAAAGGAGGTGTTCAAGGCTGGGCCTGTTTATCTTCGCAGCCCTAAGGTAGGGAGGGGTGGGGCGCGGGAAGTCAACACTGCCTTTATTCCTGGTCCCTTAAAATTGGTTCAACTCCTGACAGTTCAGTGCTTATGCTTTCATGGTTTGTTTCTTTCAGAATAATGCATACACTGCAATGTCCGATTCCTACTTACCAAGCTACTTCAGTCCCTCCATTGGATTCTCCTACTCCTTAGGCGAAGCTGCCTGGTCCACAGGGGGAGACCCCCCCATGCCCTACCTGACTTCATATGGACAGCTGAGCAACGGAGAGCCTCACTTCCTCCCTGATGCCATGTTTGGGCAGCCAGGGGCCCTTGGCAGCACTCCATTCCTCGGGCAGCACGGCTTTAACTTCTTTCCAAGCGGGATTGACTTTTCGGCTTGGGGGAATAACAGTTCTCAGGGACAATCGACCCAAAACTCTGGYTACAGCAGCAACTATGCCTATGCCCCGAGCTCACTGGGAGGGGCTATGATTGACGGGCAGTCTGCCTTTGCCAGTGAGACTCTGAACAAGGCTCCTGGAATGAACACTATCGACCAGGGCATGGCAGCCCTCAAGCTGGGCAGYGCAGATGTGGCGAGCAGTGTCCCGAAAGTTGTCAACTCGGCTGTGGGGAGTGGATCCATCACCAGTAATATTGTAACGTCAAACAGTTTGCCTCCAGCCACCATTGCACCGCCAAAGCCGACTTCATGGGCTGACATTGCCAGCAAACCCGCTAAGCAGCAGCCCAAACTGAAGACCAAGAACGGCATTGCAGGTTCAAGTCTGCCACCGCCTCCCATAAAACACAACATGGATATCGGAACTTGGGATAACAAAGGGCCTGTGGCAAAAGCCCCATCACAGGCCTTGGTTCARAATCTGGCTCAGCAGCCAGTGCAGGTGTCCCCACAGACTGTGGGCCAGCAGATCAATAACAGCCCACCGGTGGCCCAAGCTCCAGGTGGGCAGCAGCCACAGGTGCTGCCACCACCAGCCCCACTGTCTGTGCCACCAGCACAGCCCACCCGCTGGCTTGCCCCTCGGAATCGTGGCAACGGCTTTGGCCAGAACGGAGTGGACGGTAATGGAGTGGGACAGACTCAGACCAGTTCTGGTTCTCCTTTGGAGCCACACCCGGTCTTGGAGAAGTTGAGATCTGTCAACAACTACAACCCCAAGGATTTTGACTGGAACCCGAAGCATGGTCGGGTTTTCATCATTAAGAGTTATTCTGAGGATGATATCCACCGTTCCATTAAATACAACATCTGGTGTAGTACAGAGCACGGCAACAAGAGACTGGATGCAGCCTATCGCTCCATGAATGGGAAAGGCCCCGTATACTTACTGTTCAGTGTCAATGGTAGCGGTCACTTCTGTGGTGTAGCAGAAATGAAATCTGCTGTGGACTATAACACCTGTGCGGGTGTGTGGTCCCAGGACAAATGGAAGGGACGTTTTGATGTCAGGTGGATTTTTGTGAAGGACGTTCCCAACAGCCAGCTGCGACACATCCGCCTAGAGAACAACGAGAATAAACCAGTGACCAACTCCAGGGACACTCAGGAGGTGCCTCTGGAAAAGGCTAAGCAGGTGTTGAAAATCATTGCCACCTACAAGCACACCACTTCCATCTTTGATGACTTCTCACACTATGAGAAACGCCAAGAGGAGGAGGAAAATGTTAAAAAGGTAACATGCTTATGTATCTTGTCTGAGTTCTGTGGGGCAAGAGGTGGTAGTGCCTTGCACTGGACAAAAACTGGGGTGTGAAGGGGTGGACTTGTGGGCATTAGCCTGCCTTTTGCTACCTGCCTGGTCRCACCTGGAACCCACACCCAAATGGTAGCCCCTCTTTGGGGGGGAATTGTCCAGAGAAACCACCAAGGTGATGAGAGGGATCGAGTACCTCTCCTRTGAGGAAAGGATGAGAGTATTGGAATTGTTCAGCCTGGAGAAGGCTTTGGGATAACCTAATTGTGGCCTTCCAGTGCCTGATGGGAGCCCACAGGAAAGATAGAGAGAGTATTTACAAGAACCTGGAGAGATAGGACACAGGGGAATGGCTTCAGATTGAGAGAGTAGATTTGTATTGGATATTAGAAAACAATTGTTCCYTGTGAGGCTGTTGCTCAGGTTGCCCAGAGAAGTGGTGGCTTTTCCATCCCTAGAAGTGTCCAAGGCCAGGATGAGGCTTGGAGCTGCCTGATCTAGCGGAAGTYGTCGCTGCTCATGGCAGGGAATTGGAATTAGGTATCTTTAACATCCCTTCCAATCCAAACCGTTCCATGATTCTATGAAATAGTTTGCAGTACCTGTCAGAGCAGGGTGAGGAGCCTTCCCCAGGCCCTGCTTATGATCGACTGTGTGTTGGTTACTTTGAATCTCGGTCTTCCACGAGTGCTGTGCTGTAAATAAAATGTATTTCTCAGCCGTTATCAGCTGCTGGATCGGAGCACTTTGAAGCTGGAGAATGCCAGCAGGGTGTTTGGGAAGTTGTTTAGAACAAGAAACAGGTCTTAAAACAGCTGCCATTCCACCTGCTGCCTACTGTGGGGTCAACATGACAGATGTTTTCCTCCACTTTTAAAACCCCCAGGAACATCCTCCCCAGGCAACATATCCCTCTGCTTAATTATCTTTCCTATAAGGAGACTTTGTCTGATGCCAAACCTAAATCTCCCTCATTGCTGTGACTGCCTGTCCTGTCTCCACTGGACATGGATCAGGTCCTTGTGTTACTTGTGGCTCTTTKGGGCCATGGTGGGCTCTACCTGCATGGCACTGTCAGCAGTGTGGCAGATGAGCTGAGCTCATCACTTGCATTGCAGCTGCTCTGCATGCTGCTCTCAAAGCCTGCTGTCATCACCTACTCCTTAGCCATTCATTAATTGAGAGCCCTGCTCCAGATTCAATAACCAGTGGGCTTTGAATCTTACTTGGGTTCAGCTGTAGTGAAGTCACCTGGGGCTGTCCTTCCCCTCAGTTGTGGGTCTGGCTTATGTTTGATCAAAATGATAATTACAAATTAGCATGAGCACGGCTGGCTGGGAGTTTGCCAAGTTTCCTGATGATCTCTTTAGTTCCAGCAATGAAGAATTTTTCACCCAACACTTGAAGAACAGAATCAGGAGCTGCAGCTGCTCACTGTGACAGTGAATGCAGTTTTTAATTTTTTATATATATTTTACTTGGAGCATTGTATAAATAATAACACTTAAGCACAAAGATGGTCATGTTTTGCAACTGGTAGTCAGCACTTGTAGTGTTTGGAGAAAGTCTATAAGGGAGGAGTAATAAATGGCATGGTATGAAAGTGTAAACTGTTACTTTTTGAGGACCTGGCAGTTTTGTGTGATTTCACATCCTAAAATTGTTTCACTTGTGTTCCAGCCTTTATCTTCCCTGTGAGRGTGGTGAAGCCCTGKCACAGGTTCCCAGAAAAGCTGTGGTGGCCCCATCCCTGGAAGTGTTCAAGGCCAGGTTGAATGTGGCCTGGAGCAATCTGATCTAKTGAGTGGTGTAYCTGCCCATGGCAGGGGCTGGAACATGATCATCTGTAAGGTGTTTTCCTMCCTAAATCATAACAGGATTCTGTGATACCCYGCCTTCAGGGAGCAACAGTTGGCARTGTTAGAGAATCGGACCTTGGCACTGTGGGARAATGCAGGGGAGGGRAGAAAAAGCTCCTGGAGGACAGGTCAGGGATAGATGGATGGATGAGAAGAGTTAATACTAAGTATGTGTAAGCAGAAGGAAGAGGAAAAGAGAGAAGGCTTTGGGAAAAGCAGACAGAACAATGGCCTCTTCTTCTGGGAAGCTGCTGTTTGCTCTGTAAAGTCTGTAAATCAGGAATATACTAGAAATGAGGCTTAGCAATTTTGTTAAAGCTGTAAAAAATCTTTATTCATCTTCCTGGTTGCATTTTGGAGTCTCCTTCTCTGCTTGCTTCTCTTCTTGAGGCGTACTGGTGTGGAGAGTTGGAATTACAATAGTCGGGGTACCAGTGCTGCCTTTCTGAACCATGTCCTAGTGGATGCAGCAGTAGTTGATTAGGAAAGCATTCTTTCTTTTCGAAGGAACTTAGTCATAGGTCTCTGGAATTCACAGATGAGAAGGGTGTTGTGTTGACATAGTTGACCTTTACTCTTTGTCATTTACTCACCCTGTGTTTCATGCCCTGGGCACCTGTAACATCCTGCATGGAGAAAGTGACTGCRCCTTGGTCATTCTTGCAGCAAGTTTTACCTCCTCAGTCACTCACTGATGCACCCTGGAACGTGGTTGAGGTTTCTGTAACTGCTCTTTCGTGTTTTCATTGAGGATCAGTTATTTTTGCTGAAGAAGGGTTTTTTTTTTCTTCRTGGAGTAATTCTTACCCTGGGACTAGAGGTGCCAAAAAGCCCAAACCATGCTCTGTCTGCTTGAAGCATCTCAGGTAATCACCTGAATTTAAAAGAYATATGAGGAACCAGAACTGAAAGCACTGTAAAGTTAAAATGTTTTTTGGCAGCAGCTCCCTGGCTGCTTTTTGTGTTGCTTTGTGCTGGGGAAATCCCATTGTACGGAGCTCTTTGTCTGTCCCACAGYGTGAGATGTTAATGCTCTGCACTTGTGTTCCTTGAAGCTTAAATGTCTCAAGGTTTGGTTTGTTTCAAAATTCTCCCAAGCTGAAATTGTTTCACTTGGCTTAAACTTGCCCAAATCTTTGTCTCATTTGCAGTTTGATTCTTGCTTGCTGCATGACCAGGTGGATGAGCTCTTGTGCCAGTCTGGGAACTCTTGAATATTCTTTTATACTTCTCACTGTTAGTCATTTCTTCAGAATTTCTGAAAGCAGGTCCARGAAATGATAGAGAAAATATATAGTGTTTGTGCTGTTTCCGTTGTCCAATGAAGGGAGAGGGGTAGGTAGTTCAGTGTTGAAAACATTGAAATAATCCTCTTTCTTTTCCTTCCATGTTGCCTGTGCCCRTCCTGTTCCTCCAAAGCTAATCCCCATTCCTTTTCCGTGTCTTGCTTTGCTCTACTAATCCAGTTTTTAAAAAGGTTTGGATGTTCATCTGAACCAAAATGGTGAAGCCGACTTGCAGTGCAATTCTACCAGGAGCAGTCTTGAAACACAGACAGTTGCTTTTATGGTAGAGCTCATCACTGACTTCTTCTGTGTAAGAATTATTTTATCTTTGCTTTAAACAACCAAAACAACACCACAAATCCCTGCCTCAAGGTCATGCACTTGCATTTCTAGGAATGCTGCAGCAGTGACCTTGTTGTAAAAATCTCGTCATGATCTGCCTGGTGTGAAAGGTTGATAGCTTGTGTTTTGTGGAAATGCAGTCAGTGGAAACTCTAGTTTGTTTTGATTCTTTCTGCCTGCCCAGGCTCGAGATATTTGGCTACTCACAGATTCCAGGGATTTYAGGAAAGCTATCTCATGAAAAGCAGACCTGTGCAGAGTGCTCAGTGGTCAGGTTTGCAGCTGAGGAGAGACACTTTGCACTGGGACTTGARGCAGGCTGAGTTGTTCAGCATGGGRTGGGTTTTGGTGGATTTGTCACGCTGAGGATYGGCCTCAAACACAAAGGTGGGATTGGTCAGATTGGATCTGTTATTTCTGGAACTGTGCTTCTTTGTGCTTCAGCTGATGCTCTCTGCTCGTTAAAGGAGTATTAATAGTGGCAAATGTTACTGCCTCCTTGGAGCACGTGATTTAAGAGAAGACTGAGGAGTGTTGTATGAGCCTGTTTGGTTCATACAGGGCAGGCTATTTCATAGTCACTGGAATGCATGAATGCTTTCTGATGGATTTTACAAAGCTCTTTTTTTTCTGCCCAATTTGTAATCTCAGAGGGGAGGAGAGAGAATATTCCTGGTATGGTGGACCAGCCCTCTTTCCTCTTGGTGTTACAGTTCTGGGGAATGCTCTATTTGCTTTGGCTTTACTATATTCCACAGGACAGTGCTCTGACTATAAGATTCAATTCCTGGATATTCTGCATCCAGGCAAAGCCAACTGTTCCCTGCGGCAGCAAGGGAGCACTCCTTCTACTCATGCAGTTTTTTTAATTCGATGATCCCAGGGGTGCTTGCTATTTTCTGCTCCAAATCCTGGCCATAGTGAAATTAATGGATTGATGCACCAGGACAGAATTTCTACTGYGCTGTTCAACACTGCACATGGTTTCAGTTTATTTCCAGGCTGTTTAAATCCTGTAGGTCTGTGTCCATGCTCATATATATTGCCCAGGAATGGAGGAAACAAACCATCCAGCTTCTTCCAGTGGTTTGACACTGGCTGTTGGTAAGGAATACTTTGTGCTTTTGGAGTTTTTAAGCCAGCCCTTAAAAACACTCAKGGATTTTTGCTTGTGTTTTAGCTGTGTCTAAGGGCAGGAGAAAACTGGAGGGAAGACTGAGATCTGACTGATGGTCTACTCATGTTTTCTGCTGTGAGACAGGGTACTGTGTTTTCTCATCCCTAAAACAGGAGCAGCTGGGAGCCCTTTCACTGCAACTGGAGTGGAGTCAAAGCGGTGGAAGAGCAAACCAGTTGCACTTGCCTTGTAGTCCTGTCTCACTGCTAGTATTGTGTTAGAAGTATTTAAAATTTTAATTAAATTTTATTAATTACATTAAAATATAATTTTAATTGCAATATTTGTTAATACTGTAAATCATATTTGAGGTTG